TGGGGCCCGGGGCCCGCAGCGGGGGGTGAGGGGCAGCAGCTGTGTGCTGCGTGTGGGCGCGCAGTGAGGGGAGGGAAGATGAGCGTACGTGGCTAGAATCAGATTTTTGTCAGTCGTTTGCTGGGAAACTTGACATTGCTGGTCGGGGTTTCCTTAGGGCGCTTTATTAAAACAGATGAAAATGTACATACTTGGTTGCTTCCAAGCTATTTATTGGTATCTCTGGACCCCCTTGCTTCATACAGCTGAAGAAGAGCATTGTGCCCAGGAAAGTTTAGGGTACTGTATTTTGTGTTAGGCTCTAAGGGCTATAACATTATTTCAAAATAATTAGTGTTATTGTGAAATAACTTAGTCAGCATCTACACAGCAGGTAGTTATTTCGAAATAATGTCGAAATACTGTCAAGCTGGAGGACTTCTTACTCCGTGTCCTGTAACCTTCATTGTACAAAAAGTAAGGGAAGTCAAAGGAAGAGTGCTTTGTTTCAAAATAAGTGCTATGTAGCTGCTCCCAATTTCGAAATAAGCTATGCAATTGACATAGCTCAATTTGCGTAGCTTATTTCAAGGTAAGCCCTGTTGTGGAGATGCACCCTGAGGGTACTCTACCCAGTGCAGCTATTTGAGGATACCAGAGGTGTCTTAACAAGCCACCCGTTATTTCAAAATATTTTTCAAAATAATGGGCATGCTATTTTGGCATCCCTGTAACCATCATGCCTCGAAATAGTGTGTTGTTTCAAAATTTGGCAATGTGAAGACGTGCCTAATTTCAAAATAAGCTATTAAGCATCTTATTTTGAGTTTAGGGTGCTGTGTAGATGAACCCTAAGGTGCTGCAGGACCATTTTAAATTTTTTTGTCAGTTACAGATTTACATGGCTACATCTCTGAGACTTCCAAGTTATCAGACTGCCCCAAAATGAATTGGCCATGAATGCAACTCTTCTTTGTTTTGACTCTTAACTTTTCTATGGAGTGGAATACTGCATATTGAGCATTTATGCAAACTAATTATTTAGAGAAAAAACTTGTTGGGGGAGAAGAGAAAATAAAGGTATTAAAAATTAAGGATTGGACAGATGTGTGCTGTATTTTCTTGGTATGCTTAACTCATGGACACTGACATCTTGACAGCTCTCTGCTGTCGATATGATGCTATCAGCCCAAATCTTGCTTTTGGTGATTTCCATGCTACAGCGTGAGCCAAGAAAATGTTGTGGTATATAGAGTAAATTGAGGGGTGGGCGTTTGTTCTGAAATATATTCATAAGATTGACTATGAAGTAAATCTTTTTTGTGAGTTAATGGTTTATTTTGGTACCATTTAAAAGTTACTATTTTTGGAATTGGGGGATACTTCATGAGACTTGTGAACTATGACCTCCAGAATTAACACCCCCCAAAAGAAACGATAAACCAACCCAACATCTTGTTCTAGTATTGTTACTGAAACTGTGAATAAAGCAATCTCTAATTACAGTACAGGCAGTCCCCGGGTTACGTACAAGATAGGGACTGTAGGTTTGTTCTTAAGTTGAATTTGTATGTAAGTCGGAACTGGTACATATTGTAGGGGAAACTCTAGCCAAACATTTCTCCAGAGCTCAGTTTTATTCTCCCACACCTCACTTCCCTCAGCCCTTTATTCTCAAGCTGAAGTGTCTGCTGAGAAAAGCGGGGGAGGTGCTAGCTTCGCGTCTCTGTGGTCTGCTGGGGGGAAGCAGCTAGTGCGGGGTTGCTTCACCCCGTTTGTAAGTAGGGATCTGATGTAAGTCGGATCCATGTAACCCGGGGACTGCCTGTAGTTGGAATATGATGCTGGGAAGTGCACAGAAATACCAAATGGGAAATGTTTGTTGTGTGTTAATCAATTGGTCTGTTGTATAACCCTACTGATAACATGAACTTTGTTATAAAGCTCTCAAGATAACTGTGTGTGTGTGTGCGCGCGTGCGTGTACTTAAAAAAATCTAGAAGCAATCCTATTAGTGATACATCCTGTACTATGTGGTAGAAAACCTGAGTTTACTTCCTGGTGTCTGCTTTTCTTCAGAGCCTTAGGCCAACGGTCGCGACCACCAAGGGGGTTGCTGGCCGGCCGCTATTTTGTTCTCCCGGCTTGGCGCCCGACGTGCGGGGGGAGTGGCAGGGGAGCAGACTGGTGCTTTAAATTAAAGGGGCTGCAACAAAATGTTCCTGGCACTTTTTTTTCCCCTCAACAAAAATTTTCCCAGCCCTGGGAGTTGCAAATTAAAGAAGGTTGAGCACCACTGCCTTAGGCTATGTCAACGCTGGGAAGGTTTGGAGACAAAAGTATTGTCAACATGCAAAAGTGAAAACTCGTCAAACCAGTTTTTCTGCTGCCCATTGTAGACATTTCATGGCTGCATCCTGTGGACAGAGAGCAAAGCATTGTGGGTAAGCATCCCATAGTGCACTGTTGTGGAAAGGCAGAGCTGATCCCTGCACTTCTTGAGATTCCCTCATAGCCCTGTGAGATCTCTGTAGTGAGGAATGTCAAAGCAGTGCAGCAGTCTCTCCAGCCCTCCCACTGCAGCAGCAGTCTGCCTGCTGCTACATTCCTAGTAGGGCAGAACAGGAGCATTCCAATGATTTGTTCTTTGTTTGTTCCCCAGTGGAGCAGCTCACTCAGCTGTCAGGTACTTCCCAGAGCTTTGAAAGGGAAGGAGCCCATGCTTGCCGGGGAGCAAAGATTGGAAAACACTGAGCACCGCCACCAGGGTAGGCATTATGGGATGCTGGTGGAAGCCAGTTCTCAACAAAACAAACAACAGAGTCCACACTTTGTCAAAGATAAGGAAGGGAAAATACAAAAGTCCCAAAGGTGAAAGTTTTTTGTCTCCAAAACTGGGTGTTTTTCCTCATAAAACTCCCATTGCAGTGTAAACCCTCTCTCTGTTTTGTTGCTAAAAGGCCTTATCCTCACTGGTACATTTTGCCACCAAAAATGCTGTAGGGGGAGGGCTGGGGAGACTGCTGTGCTGCTTTGACATTTCTTAGCAGAGGGGAGAGCTTTCAGAGCTATGAGGGAATCCCAAGAAGTGTAGGTATCAGTTCTGCCTTCCCACAATATTGCACTTTGGGACATTTACCCACAGTGCTTTGCTCTGTCAACCTTCCCAGTGTTGAAGGTGGCCAGGAAATGCCCACAGTGGGAGGCAGAAAAAACGGTTAGACCGGTTTTCACTTTTGGCAACTTTCGCACATCGACAGCATTTTTGTTGCCAAACCTTCCCAGTGTTGACAAAGCCTTAGTTTGCTAGTTGGGCACTTTCAGAAGGGAAACTATGGCCCTGATGTTGCAAATACTAGTGTAACTATTGGTAAGATTGGGGCGTTATGGAGCTTTTTGTCTGTAGAAGATATAACAGCTGTCAGAATTGACCACTCTCTTTCTATGCCATTGAGATGTATCTACACTGGCCCAGAAACAAGTGAGGCAAAAATAACTGAGTTTCAATTGTTCTTTAGTGTCGAAAAGTTACTCTGTGTTGGGAATGTTCCTTACAATAGTTGATAATTGTTTGAAGGACTCTTGTGAAGATTGAAGTGGGAGGGAAGAGAAACAAATGATTGAATAGGAACAAATGCTTCTTTGACTAATATGTTTCTAAAGCATGTATAAAGATGTAGAAGGAACAAACCCTTCATTGCTGAGCAGAATTACTCTTGATTAGATATGGACTTGTCACTATTAGCTGCCTGCCCCTGCAGATTTGAAATTGAAGGTCCCAAGAATCAGAAAAGCATGAGTTCTCCCCTTGTCCTTGGATCTAGATATTTCAAATAGTTTTGAATCTGCAGACTTGTGAGTGTTTCCCAGCTCAAAGTCACTATCACTTTTAGCTAGATCTGGACTGTATGTACATTCTGTAACTGTAGACCATATGTGGACAGACTACCACTAATTGCTTGACTTTTTAAACATAGTGGTAAAGTTCCCCTTCAGTGTAGGTTAAGAACATGTTATTAATATTAAAAAGTTGCTATGGGAAAGTACAACATGGAAGGATTGTAAAATCTTGACATTCTAACACAACTTGAGTATGAATCATTTGTAGGTTTGAAATGCTCCGCTTTAGTTCTCATATTTCAATATTTGTCACTTGTTGCTCAGTGCCTGTCATTTCCCAAACAAGCACTTATGCAACATGGACTTTTCCTCCTTTTCGTAATTATTTTTGGACAGTAGCACAGGTTTTTCCTTATAATTTGAGTGAATCATTCTGCATCATTCTATAGAGGTTGAAGAGATATTTCAGAGTTATCTTTTGTTAAATTCTTCTTTCAAAGATTGGCTCTAACTGTATTGGAAGCTTAAAGCAGGGAAGATCACAGCTGTCTGAAATAAACATCCTTCAGGTCCCTCAGTTTCTTGACAAAGCAAAAGCAGCTAGGAAATTGGAAGACAAAGTTATTAATCTCTGCTGTGTCAGACTTGAATGTAAAAGTAATACAATACAGTTCTTAATGCTAGGTCAAGAGTTAGATTAAGTCTAGGTTGTGTTTGTGTCCGTTTTTTTAATAATATGGTCCTGATGAGAAGAATACATGAAGTGTAAAGGAGATGGCTGAAAGCACAGTGGGTTGGATCCTACAAGTTTATGATTGTTCTAATTTACATCAGCAGTAACTGGGTTTATCTAAATGGATTTTTCTAGTTTTTGGATATGATTTTTTGCCTGTTGATTTTTTTTAAGTGGCCTACTCAACTGTCAGAAATGTGGCACATATACTTACTGTGCATATTATTATTTTTCCT